TGATCATCTGGAGTGGCGCCCGTGCTGGCACCAAGGACAAGAGGGGCGTACACGGTGTGGGCATAGCGATCAAGGAGGCCATGTGGGAGAGTGTGGGCGAGGAAGGTAGGACGGTGGAGTGCATTAGCCCGAGGCTGATGAAGGTGCGTCTACAAATTGGCCGCACCTGCGGAGTAACCTTCGTGGTGGGGACGCTCCCACGGAAACTGTCCGCACCACGGCGGGCGGTGATGTTAACGCCAAGGACTCCTTCTGGACTGCTCTCGACGCAGCGATCCGGGAGGTTCACAGCCGTGACCATCTCGTGGTGCTAATGGACGCCAACGCACGTACTGGTAGGAGNATGAGGACGCCCCCACGGAAACTGTCCGCACGGCGGCGGGCGGTGATGTTAACGCCAAGGACTCCTTCTGGACTGCTCTCGACGCAGCGATCCGGGAGGTTCACAGCCGTGACCATCTCGTGGTGCTAATGGACGCCAACGCACGCACTGGTAGGAGGCGAGACGGGTGCTGCGATGCCAAGATTATGGNNCCTACTTCTGGACACCGAAAGGTGGAGTGCAGCACACATTCCAGAGCTCCAACAAGGGGAAGGAGAAGTACCGCCTCGAGTTCATCCTCATGCGTCAGACGGACCGGCGTTTCGTGCACAATGTCTCCGTCAAACGTGTCGACTTCATGGACTCTGACCACAACCTCGTGCTTACGACTGTGCCCCTCCCCCCCCGTGTCGCACCCAACCGACGAGTGCGGGGGAACAGCGGAAGCAGCCGGATCCGTATCGGCCTCGAGCGGTTAACGAAGAACAAACACCTACGGGTCGCCTTCCAAAACAGGGCCTCCAACCGCTCTCCGCCAACGGCGCTCAGGCGGCCAACGGGAGAGACCGCCGCCGAGCTGACGGCTACGGTCATGTCGGCCGCCGCTGAGACCGCGCCGCTGGCGAGGTGCGCACGAGGGCAGAGAGGCTGGTACACGAGCGAAGCGCAGCACGAGATCTCCGAAGCGTCCAAAGAGATTAAGGCGGCCCAGCAGCAACTGCGTGGGGCCTCAAAGAACAGCGCCTTCGAGGTGACCCTGAAGGCGATTCCTAAGGCGGCGCGGAAGAAGCGCAGCATCGCAAGGTGGAGAGCACTGGAAACNTCCTACTTCCGGACGCCTACTTCTGGACACCGAAAGGTGGAGTGCAGCACACATTCCAGAGCTCCAACAAGGGGAAGGAGAAGTACCGCCTCGAGTTCATCCTCATGCGTCAGACGGACCGGCGTTTCGTGCACAATGTCTCCGTCAAACGTGTCGACTTCATGGACTCTGACCACAACCTCGTGCTTACGACTGTGCCCCTCCCCCCCCGTGTCGCACCCAACCGACGAGTGCGGGGGAACAGCGGAAGCAGCCGGATCCGTATCGGCCTCGAGCGGTTAACGAAGAACAAACACCTACGGGTCGCCTTCCAAAACAGGGCCTCCAACCGCTCTCCGCCAACGGCGCTCAGGCGGCCAACGGGAGAGACCGCCGCCGAGCTGACGGCTACNGTTCATCCTCATGCGTCAGACGGACCGGCGTTTCGTGCACAATGTCTCCGTCAAACGTGTCGACTTCATGGACTCTGACCACAACCTCGTGCTTACGACTGTGCCCCTCCCCCCCCGTGTCGCACCCAACCGACGAGTGCGGGGGAACAGCGGAAGCAGCCGGATCCGTATCGGCCTCGAGCGGTTAACGAAGAACAAACACCTACGGGTCGCCTTCCAAAACAGGGCCTCCANGTTTCTACAGGCACCTGAAGATGATCGACGTCGAAGGTAAGAGGTCGTTCACCACTCAGAACATCAAGGACGAGGACGGCATGGTCCTTCGGGACCCCACGTTCATTCGCCAACGGTGGGCACGGTGGTTACACAAGCTTCTCAACACCAAGTCGCCGACCGTCGACCTGCATGCGGCTGACAAGGTAAAGCGGTGGTCCACGTGCGTGCCAGTTGACGACATCCCATCTCTACTCGAGGTTGAGGAAGCGGTACGGGAAATGGCCAACAGAAAGGCCGTCGGGCCGGACGACCTACCGGCTGAGCTGATCAAGCTTTTCCTCGACGGAGATCAAGATCGCCTCCGCGAATTCCACGCCATTGTCGTGGACGTGTGGCAGACGGGGGACGTACTACAGCAGTGGA